GGCAGAGCACTCGGGAAATTTCCAGGGGGACTGAGGTGGGACCAGTGGCCAAGGGCCTGGTGAGCCAGGTTAAGGAATTCACTTCTATCCTGAGGCTGGTGCAAGAGCCATTGGAGGGTTTGACGCCGAGGAGTCACATAGCCTGATACCCACTTTCGATGGTCCATTCTGAAGAAATGCCCAGGAGGGGGCACTGGAAGGACACTGTTGAGTGGCTGGATGCAGGTATGAGGGACAAGAGGCCAGGGATGCTCTCGTGGGTCAGGGTTCACGATGGTAGAAATTCTCCAAAATATACCCACAGTTACCCCTTCTCCTCTCATTGACTTCTGAACCAAAAGCTTTTCAGAAGGATACATTGCTGGCTTTTTGGAACCAGAGTCCTGCTCCCATGACTGGGACCAACATCTTTCAGATGTTACCTCCTGCTCGGGGGACCGTCCCCACACACATGCACCAGCCACCGCAGTGGGCCCAGCAGCAGTGACTGGACCACGCAAGGCTGTCTCCAAGGGCCGGACTGCAGTGGCCTGGGGGACGCTGTCTCAGGTTGGCACCATCAGTTTCTTCCTGCTCTGATTCAGGATGTGGCCTGCGGTGCTATAACCTCTGGCACCAGCAGACCTGGGAGAACAGGTAGCCTTGGGCTGGCGGCACGGCCCTCTCTGCCCTGTTGGTCTGCAGAGGATACCGGCCAGCGTGCAGCGGGGGAGGCCTCCACCCAGAGACCCCCTGAGACAGAGCAGGGGGCACTCAGTGGGCTTCCTGTTCCAGCCCCAAGCCCTCCTGCGACCCAGCTCCACCTCCCATGCTTGGGCTCCTCAAATGTCCCGTATCCCTATAATAAATGCTCACTTTTTAAATCCTTCAGCAGGTCCTTCAGCGACCTAAGTGGGTCTCTGATTCTTGCCATCAAAAGGGCGTTGACTAAGGCGACGCTGTGCTCTAGCCTCGATGATCTGTCCCCTGGGGTTGACTTACAGCCCATTCCCAGGGCACAGCATCGGCTCCTGAGGCCGGAAGGAAGAACCAGAGCCCTCACCTGCTGCTTCCTTGCTGGATAATCTCCTCTGCTCTGTTTCAAGGGCAGGCGGCATGAGGGACCCAGAGGGCCGCACCTGGCGTCCTTGGGCCCAACTGCTTTCTGAATCAGGGCAGAGTCCCTCTCCTCACCCCCAGGTCTCCACCTCCACTCTCCCCTCCCTGACCTCAGGGCTGTGGGGTTTGGGGACCATCAAACTTCGGATGATGTTTGAAGTCAAGTGTGGGAAAGTGGCCCTGGGAAGTGTTCCCAAGGTAACAAGGGCCAGCTTATCCTAGATCAACCAGAGAATTTCCATGGGGCTTCCCTGGTGGCGCAGTGGTTGGGAGTCCGCCTGCCGATGCAGGGGACGCGGGTTCGTGTCGGGAACCCGGTCCGGGAGGACTTTGTATTTGAAGATCACCTTCTGGTTTTTCCTTCAGCCTCCTGTCCTCTACATCATGAGAAACAACTCTCAATTCCTTACATCCCTTCTCTCTGCATAACTGGGGGCCGGGAAGAGGAAGAGAGATATTTTGTGCCTTGATTTTGCCACATTCCAAATTATGAGATAACTGGTAATGTTGGAGCTGTCTACTAAATGCTTAAAATTTATTGTTGAAACAAAGTTTAACTTTAAAATGGTTTCTTCTAGGGAACTCCCTGGTGGTCCTGTGGTTAGGACTCGGCGCTTTCACTGTCGTGCCAGGTTCAATCCCTGTTGGGGAACTGAGATCCCGCAAGCTGCCCGTACCGAAAAAAAAAAAAAAAAAAAAGAATTTCCATGGCTGGTAGGGGGCCCAGGAGCAGCGGGAGGAAGGGAGGTGCAGGTGTGCCCAGAAAGGCGTGACTAAAAGGAGTGCGCAGGACAGAACCTCCTTTGGACCCCCTTCCCAACATCTGGAAGCCCTCCAGCCCTGCTGCCTGCCAGCCCCATGCCCTTAGAGGCTGCTGCAGGGGTATCCCTGCTGCCGAGGGGCCCAGCCCCACGCAGTCTGCTCGGTCTGTTCCTCCAAGGAATTCAATTCTAGCAGCAATTTCGTCTCCTCCTCTGCAGAGCACCCAGGGCTGACCCCTGAGCCCCACCTGCTCTCCCAGTTAGGGCTGGGGGAGGGGAGGAGACGCAGGCTGACCAGCCAGTTTGATGATAGATTGTTCCATCAGGATCCAGCTCAGGAAGGAGACTCCTGGCTTGGCCACTGCCTGGGGAAAATCCCTTCTTCGATGCCTCACTTTGTCCACCTATCAAATAGGCAGATTCAGTATCTTTATCAACCCTCCTGGCCCTATGCTAAAAAAGAGGCTTGGTATATTTTGTGTTTTTCTTGGGTGAACGCTTATCTTCAAAGTGCAGTGCTTTTATTAGAGACACAGGAAAACAATAGCAGTAGCAACTGATTGGCTTAATTACAACAGTTGAGAAGAGTTTGGCAGGGAGACAGGACCTGGGGGGCTGGGCTGCTTATTTCCCAAAGCTCCAAGGGTTTCTAATCCTCCCCAGGAAGCTGGGACCTCAACTCTCCTGCACTCTCTTGGGTGCACCCAAGTCAGAAAATACAAAAAAGCCTAAATGGCAGTTACTAAACCACATAGGTCGATTATATCAACTTGGGAAAGGGCTATTTCCATGCTGCTGGTGGCGGGACTCAAGTTATTGATAGAAAGTGACGGCCAGGGGAGTCATTCCTTCTGACAGCTCACATTGGAGGAGGAAAGCGAAGAGGGGCAGGCAGGCTGTGGGGAGACCAGGCCTTCCTGATGGCAGCTTCCAGGAGGCCAAGACACCCCCCAGCACAGCTGCTGAGCGCAGGTGAGTCAGATGGGAAGGGTGAGGGATGGGCACGGCCTGCGTTTAGCTTTTCAGCACAGTCAGAGGGTGGAGGGGTCAGGGGCCTTCCCCCATGACTGAGGTTGGGCTCCAGGGGTCAGTGCTGGCCCTGGACTGCACCCCCTGCCCTGGACCTGAGGAACTAGGGCACCCCCAGCCCATTCCCCACTGCAGCCGTGACCCTCATCTCTGAGTCACCCTTTGATGAGGTTCCGATTCCTGTCTGCACCCCGTTATTAACTGGACTCTTCCTTCCACAACTGTGTACTCTTATCCCCCGGCTCTGAGCAAACTGTGGGGGCAGCAGTGGGAAGCATGGGCACTCTGCTGCAAGCCCAGCCGTGACTTACAGTAAAATCACTTCTCTACTGCAGACTCCCGTGAACAGCCAAAAACCCCTGTGCCCCTCACACATCCCGCAGACCGGGGCTGAGCTGGGGGGACGCAGGGACAGGCCCAGCCTCTCCCTCCAGGGCTCCCATGGGGGCTGCTATGGAAGCTCCCAAACTTCTAATACTCTTCTGAACACAAGTAACGCATGCTTGTTGCACACACATTAGGAAGCACAGATGAGCAGAAGAGAATTAAAAATTGCCCGTGATTCCACCGGAGATTATCATTGTTTTATGCCTTCACTCCGTGTATTCAGCCATTTGTCATCAGCTTTTCACACTTGTTAGTGCGCTGTGAGCATCGTTCAGGTCAAAAGAGCCATTTCCACATCATCTTTTTTTTTTTTTTTTTTTTTTGCTGTACGCAGGCCTCTCACTGCTGTGGCTTCTTCCGTTGCGGAGCACAGGCTCCGGACTCGCAGGCTCAGCGGCCATGGCTGACGGGCCCAGCCACTCCGCGGCATGTGGCATCTTCCCGGACCGGGGCACGAACCTGCGTCCCCTGCGTCGGCAGGCGGACTCTCAACCGCTGCGCCACCAGGGAAGCCCTCCACATCGGTTTCTTTAATGACAGCCCAGTGTGTGAGGTGATCATTTCACCAATTTTTTCACGGTAGTGCCATCGGGGCTGCTTCCGGTATCATGAATAATGTTGCCAGGATCATCTTCCATCCATTTAGCAATATTTCCCCCGACTGCTCAGTTACAGGCACCCTCTGGGTCCTGGGCTTACAGCCACTGACAAAATAGAGGCCTGTGCAGACACATCTCTGGGCATATTCTTTTTTGTTTCTTTTTTAACATTTTTATTGGAGTAGAACTGCTTTACAATGGTGTGTTAGTTTCTGCTGTATAACAAAGTGCATCAGCTATACATGTACATATATCCCCATATCTCCTCCCTCTTGCGTCTCCCTCCCACCCTCCCTATCCCACCCCTCTAGGTGGACACAAAGCACTGAGCTGATATCCCTGTGCTATGCGGCTGCTTCCCACTAGCTATCGATTTTATATTTGGTAGTGTCTATATGTCCATGCCACTCTCTCACTTCATCTCTGGGCATATTCCTGATAGTTCTTTCAGCTGATGACTGGTTGGGACATTGCTGGTCACAGCTTTGCTGGGATTCACTCTCCCAAAGGATTGTGCCCGTCTCAGTGGCCCCTCAGAGAGCCGCTCTGGACAAAGCCCTGTGGCCTCTGTGCTCCAGAATGACCTGGCACGGGCGCAGACATGACCCTAGGAAACAGAGCAGGCCCCAGAGGAAGCTGGGGGAGGAGCCTGGTTCCTGGGCCCGGTGGCTGGTCTTGCCGCACTCTGGGCCAGACCTTCACGGGGTGGTTGTTTTCCCAGGCCCCAGATTTGGCGGCTGCGTCTGGGCGCAGGATGTAACAGTTGAAATTGGGCCATCCTAGATAACCCAGAGGTACCGCGGTGCCTTCCCCACCCAGCTCCGGAGGCAGCCCTCCCAGGAGCATCTGGGAAGGGGAGAGGGCGCCCAGGCTCCCACCCCAGGCCGCTGGGAGCGGGTCCGGACCAGGCCCTGCTCCCCACCCCGCAAACCCCACCCCCAGCCCAGGCCTCCGCCCCTGCCCCGGCCGCGCTCCGGCGGGTGCCCAGGTAGCCCAAACCTGTCGGGCCGGTTTCGAGAGCAGCGGGACGGAGGCTGGTGAAGCCCGCACTCTCGGCTGCCTGAGCCCCGTCCGCCCGGCCCGCAGCCCACCGGCCGACCCCATGGTGCGTGCGCCCGGCCTCCTGGCGGCCCCGCTGGGCCTGGGGCTGGCCCTGGCCCTGGCCCTGGCCCTGGCCCTGCGGCGGGCGGGCGCGGCGGACTGCGGGGCCCTCGGCCCGGCGGAGCGCCTGGCGTTCGCCCCGGCGGCCAAGACCCGCTGGCTGGCCCCTCGCGTCCGCGCGCCAGGGCCCCTGGACCCCCTCTACGGCACCGTGCGCCGCTTCCTCTCCGTGGTGCAGCTCAACCCCTTCCCCGCCGGTGAGTGCGCCCCTCCCCCGGGCGGGCCTCGGCGGGTATTGGGTCCCCACTCTGCACCCTAATCTCCTCTCCACCGAGGGACGCACCCACCGTCGGCAGGCACTTGGAGAGCAGGGTCCCCAGCACTCCCCAGCCCCATCTTCCTGCCCGGAAGGCCCGGGCACCCAGGGCATCACCTTCCTGCGTGACCTTGGACAATCCCCTTTTCCTCTCTGAGCCGCGGCTTCTCTGTCCTAGGGCAGCGGAAGTTACAGTCAAAGTTCTCCAAGAGGCTGGTTGAGCTTTTTCTCTGCGTCTGGTGGCGCCGTGCTGGTTGTGAGGACCAGGATGGGCAGCAGGACAGCTCCCAGCCCGTCCCCTGCCTCTTAGGGGAAGAGCTGCTGCTAGGCCAGGCCCCTTCTCTGCTTTTAACCGGGCTGCAGGCTTCCCCACTGCAGGGCCTACCTGGGGGGCGCAGGACGAGGGGGGAGCCAGGCCTCCCTGCAGACACAGCCTCCTGTAGCCTGGCTGAGGCACGAGGGCTCCGGGCTGTGGTGACACTGCCTTCTCCGAGGGTGCCGAGGTGGTGGGAGGACCCCCTTCGGAGAGCCCACCTTTGCCTGGCAGCGGGGGTGGACGCAGGGCCAGGGCAGTCGCTGCCCCCAGACCCAGCTTGACTCTTTTCCTAGAGCTGATAAAGGCCTTGCTGAATGAGCCATCCTCCGTGAAGGCGGATGAGGTGAGCGGCCGGGGTGGGGGTGGGGGGCGCTGCCGGGGGAGGGCGTTCAGCGGTGAGCACGAGAGACCGAAGGAGAAGGGCCTCGTGGGCTCAGCCCACTTGCTGGGTGTGCCCCAGGGTGGGGTTTCTGGCATCCCTTCCCCTTTTCCGTGAGCACTGCAGTCCGCGCACCTGATTTCTAACCACGGCTCTGCCCTTCAGCGGCTGTGGGGTTTGCAGGGAGCCCTAGCCTCCCTGGACTTCAGTGTCCTTTGTTTGTAGGATGGTAAATAACACTAAGAACACGACGCCCCTCACAAGAGTTAAAGGAGCTGCGAGATGTGTGCATAGTGCCCCCGCGCCCCGCCCCGTAGTGCGCCTCCCTCCCCTCGGGTTTCCCTCCAGAGTCAGGCGGGAGAGGGCTGGGATGGCAGGGTCAGGACAGCCCCTCATGCCTTGCTGCCCTGCCCAGGTGGTGCGGTATGAGGCAGGCTACGTGGTGTGTGCTGTGATCACCGGCCTCTACCTCCTGGTGGTACCCACCGCTGGGCTCTGCTTTTGCTGCTGCCGCTGCCGCCGGCCCTGTGGGGGCCGAGTGAAGATGGAGCACAAGACGATGGCCTGCGAGCGAGGCACCCTCGTGGCCTTCCTGCTGCTGACCACCCTCGTACTGCTGTGAGGGGCGCCCAGGTCAGGCGGGAGGCGTGGGCCGAGGCCCAAGGTGCCATCGGGCATCCAGCCAGCCCCTTGCTCTTCCCCCATCCCTGCAGGATCGGCGTGGTCACTGCCTTTGTCACCAACCAACGCACGCATGAGCAGGTGGGCCCCAGTGCCAAGGCCCTGCCGGAGACTCTGCTCAGCCTCCGGGGCCTGGTCGCCGATGTCCCCCAGGTGAGCGCCAAGTAACCCCGCACGTGCCCCCATGAGCGCCAGCCATGGGCGGGACAGAGCAGGGTAGGTCCTGCAAATTCGTGCATAGCCTGCGCATGAGAGACGGTGCCCCTTCCAGCACGCGCCTGACTGCCCCCTGCTGGAGAGTCACTGTAATCCATGACGGCACCCATGGTATTCTCAGGACGGACGCCCAGTTGTGGCGGGTAGTGGGGGAATAAGGGCTGGGGAAGGGACGGGAGCCGGGGTGTCCAGTGACAGGAAGGAGCCGCCTCACGGCCCTGTGTTTGCCTAGGAGCTGCAGGCCGTGGCACAGCAGTTTTCCCTTCCTCAGGAGCAAGTCTTGGAGGAACTGGATGGTGAGGGTTCCAGCTCAGGCCTGCCTTGGGGAGGCCTCTCATCCCCTCATCCCAGGCTCCACCTGGGAACACCCTCGCAGAGGCGGGAATAGGGTCCAGCTGGGGAGTACGGCGGCCACTCTGCCGCAAGACCACCCTCCGGAACCCAGGGGAGGAGGATGGTTGGGTGGGGAGGCCCCTAGTCTCCTGGGGGCCAGCCCTGCAGACTGCCCTGTGCTCTCCAGGTGTCCACGGGAGCATTGGGAACATGATCCACACGCAGCTCAAGAGCACCGTGTATGAGGTCCTGGCCTCCGTGCTCAGCCTGGGCCAGGGTGAGTGTCGCTGGGGGGCAGGCCCCGCCCTCGCCCAGCCCTGCATTTCTTACACTGTCAGCGGTCCCAGCCCCTGACTCTCTCACGGCTTTATCCTAGGATCCCCTGTGGCACCTTTGCCCACTCCTGGCTTAACGTGCCCCAGGGCAGTTTCCGTTATAACTACAGAGATTAAGGACCACCAGTCCCTTGGGTTTGGGAGGGAAAGATGTTCTGCCTCCTGCAATGTCTCCAAGGATGCTGTAGCAGTGGAGACCACTCAGTCCAAATGTGGGTCTCGCAGCCCTGCAGGTCTCCGTGGACCACCTCCGAGCCCTGAACGCCACCTCCGTGGAACTTCAGGAGGGGCAGCAGGCCCTGGCGCCGGCTGTCCAGGGGCACCGGGAGCGCCTCCTGGCCCTGCTGCAGGAGCCCGGCTGCCGGGGCTGTGCAGAGGCCCTGGACAGAGCCCACGCCTTGGAGCTGGGAGCTGACTTCAGCCAGGTGCAGGCCCAGGCCTGAGGCCCCTTGGGGCGAAAGGGGCTGCTCTGCCCGCTGCCCCAGGAATCCCTGGGCAGCCTCTGTTCCGGCTGTTTCCTGAAGCGGACTCCCGATCCCTTTCCCTGGGCTGCCCCTGCCCTCTCCACGCACCCAGGGTTAAGGATGGTCATCCTGGCGGTGGGGTGAGAGCTTCCCTGGGCCACGCGCTGTGCCGTGAGCCTCATGTGACTTTGTTTCTTGAGTTCTCGCTGCCACCCAGGGCCTTCGGGGCTGTGGTGGTCCCCATCTTGCACACGAGGACACAGTATTCAGAGGCCTCTGCCCCCATCCTTCCCCAAGGACCCCTCCCAGGCCTCTCTGTGGACTTTGTCATAACAGGCCCCTCAAACCATTTCAGGTGCCCTCTGTGGATGATGCCCTGCATCGGCTGAAAGGTGTCCCAGAGGCCAACTTCTCCAGCATGGTCCAGGAGGTGAGTGCCTGCCCCAGTCTACCCGACTTCTTTGCAACCTAGCTGGGAACTCAAATGTGAGGGGCCTCAGTTTTTCACTTTTGGGGTGGGAACCCAGTTGAACCTAAGACTTGAGTCACATCAGGGCCTCGCCTACCACGTGGCGCCCTGGGCTGGAGGCTCGCGATGCTGGTCCTCGTGTGCACGGGGTCTGGTGGGGGAGGCAGGCCTGGAGCTCAGAAGGAAGAGCTAGGACCCTCAGGGGGTGGGGTCTGGGGATGGCCAAGGAGCGAGCACGCAAGCTGAGCCCCAGACGACAGGCGGGCTCTCCTGGGTGGAGACGGGCTGTGGGGAAGCATGAGTCAGCACCTGTGACCCAGGGCCTGGAAAATGCCAGGGTTGGGGAAACGGTGAGTCGGTCGTGCTGGGTAACTAGAGCAGAATGTTCCGGGAGGAGGGAAATGGGGCCTGAGGCTGGAAGAATAGACTGGAGCTGGACTTTAGGGAAATAGTCCTGGTGGTCCTGTGCAGAGTGGCTGGGAGCGATGAGAGGATAGCTAGGAGTCTACTGCAATAGTCTAAGCAAGAGGGGCGGGGACAGAAAGGAGCAATGTTTGGGGGAATTGAGTCAGGCTAGGCTGAGGGAGGGGGGAGGAAGGCACTGACTAAGAGAGCAAAGGGAAGCCTGTTTCCTGATTTCCTGGTCTGGGAGCGCCGAGGGGGGAAGCTCTCCCACTGGACCTGGCATGCAGGGGTCCCCCAAGCTAGGACACCCGGGTGGACAGCAGGAGGCACAGCTGCATTTGGTTCCGGCAGGAGAACAGTACCTTCAATGCCCTTCCGGCTCTGGCTACCTTGCAGACGGCCGACATGATCAGAGGTGAGGCCCCGCCCAGGGGCCAGGCTGGCTGCCTAGGATGCCCCCCAACGCACCCCTACCGACGAGGCTTGTTGAGAGAGGAGTAGGGTAGTGGGGTGGGGGAGGTGAAGGCTGTCCTCTTGGCTGGACCTGGACAGAGAGCGAACCATCTCTGTGCATCCCAGATGTTCTTCCTGTCCATCCGTCTCCTCCCTGGGCCCCTGGGGGTCTTCCCCATCCCATAAGCCCCTGCTGCTTTGGGCAGAGCTGAAGAAGGTGGTGGCCCAGCAGCCTAGAGAGCTGAAGACACTGGTCGAAGCATTCCCAGGCTGGGAGGCGGCTTCTCGCTGGAGCCAAGCACTGGAGGAGATGGAACAGAGCAGCCGCGCCTACCTGAAGGAGGTGCAGAGATATGAGAAATACAGGTGCCTGGGAACCCGTGGGCGTGGGTGGAATGGGCAGCTCAGGTTCTCAGCCACCCTGGAACCAATTTCCAGCCCTCATCAACCCTCCTTATGCTAAGTCTCCGCCTCCATTTAAGCCAAGGCCCCTCTCTCGTTGGGCCTCCGTGTCCCCACCTTGGCTGTGTGCCCTGGGGATCTGAGCCTGGGGACCCTATAGGAAGTCACACCTCTAAAGCCTCAGCCTTGGGGTAGGGGCCCCACCCAGCCACTAGGTCCTCCACCAGCCCCTCCTGTGCCCACTGCTGCCCTTTCCGTGACGGCCCACCTTCTCTGTGGCAGGTGGATGGTGGGCTGCGTGCTGTGCTCTGTGGTCCTGCTTGTGGTGGTCTGTAACCTGCTGGGCCTCAACCTGGGCATCTGGGGGCTCTGTAACAGGGAAGACCCCAGCCACTCGGAAGCCAAGGGCAAGGCTGGAGCCCGCTTCCTCATGGTGTAAGAAGGGCTGGGGAGAGGGGGAGGGTCTCTCCCCCCGGCCCCCGGGCTGGCACATTCCTCTCATGCCCATGGACAGCTTCTGGTGTAGCTGCAGGAGCGAGTCCTGGGGATCAAGAGACTGAGCTGTGGTCTGGCTCTGGGCCGACTTGCTGGGTGGCCCTGGGCAAATTATAACCCAACTGGGCCTCAGGTGTATAAAAGGGTTGGCCTAGAGCAGGA